GGGTTTTGGGGTTTAGGGTTTACTTAAGAGGGATCCCGCGAATGGATCCTCGAGCCTCTTTGAATCGAGGAGGAGATAACTTCCTCCGAGTCCGTTCTGCGCCCTGCTATCCTGTCGCTGGTGCCCGGCCTGCGCTTTATGGGGGGGGGGGGGGGGGGGGNNAGGGTTCAGAGTTTTTTCGTGCTATGATCGAGCTTACAGAAGGCTTAAGTTCAGGCTTTTTAGGGGTGCTGGGCTTTTGGTATTCGGTTTTGAGGCTTCGGGGTTCAGAAAATTAGAGTGAGTTGCCTCAACACCACGGACACGGCTGATGCCCAAAGCCCGCATGCCAAATCCCGAGGGTTTAGGTTTTGGGTTTAGGTCGTTTAGGTTAGGGCTTAGGGGTTGCGGTTTAGACTCTGAACCCCCCGAATCCTGAACCGCAAACCCCACTCACTGAACACTCGAAACTCTGAGCCCTAAACTCTGTAATATAGAAGCCCAAATCTCTACTGATAGTATTCCCCTTGAAGTCCTTCTAATGCTTGTGGTATAAAATACCCCGAAGCCATAGCAAACATATTCAGGCCACCTTTTCGTGTATCCCTAGACTCCAAGCTTGTCATCCTAAGCCCTATGTAAACCCTGACGTCCAAGCCCTAAGTGCTAAACTCCAATGCAGACACCGGTGATGAATGGGTTTAGGGTTTAGGGTTTAGGGCGCCTTTTCCTAAAGGCCCGAGTAATATGAGGATACCTATTGTAATTTTACTACGTTGTGCCGCACGCACGGAGGATGACTGTGGTCATGGCGCTACATCTCCTTGTATGCCCCACTAAGATGTATAGGGGCAACACTATTTTGCGGGCTCCTCATTATATTTATAGTATCATATACGCCAAAGCCCTATTCTAATTATTAAGGCCCCTATATTCGATGCTATCTTGCAGCATGCTTGAGACATCCAGAAGTTGGGGTTCCAACAGTTCAGGGAGTTGCGCCCCCAGCAAGAGGCCTAAATCGTCGGATGCTCTTTGGAAGGAGCTGGGAATAGGTGAACTGCTTTTCTGAAAACCCCGCTCGCACGGCAACTAGAAGGGCAATTTCGCGGTATTGTAGAACTAACTGCCCACGAAACCCTAACGCAACATAACCTCGCCCAAGGAAACCTATAGAAATCCTATTCATGTCCGCTAGAAATCTTGTGGTCCTTAGGCCGGACCCGCAGCTCTTAAGTTTAGCCCTCGAAATGCCCAAAGCCTCTACATAGGCCTAGAGAAGCTAAAAAGGCGCAGCTCCTGCGCACGGTGGAGCAGAGGCCATTTGGGGGCTTCCGAAAATAGAGGGCCCTGATATAGTACCCTAAATAGTAGGATCCTTATTATAGGGATCCCCAGAACGAGGTACCCCTTGCTTTCGGAAACTCCCATTTGCGTTTTACAGAAGTGTAAATGATTCGTCAGACGATGGTCAGTAGGGCTCCTCTTTTAGGGTTTAGGGTTTAGGGTTTAGGGTTTAGGGTTTAGGGTTTAGGGTCAAGGCCCATATGAGAATCTAGAAGCCTACATAATTACCTATACTCTCTTGGGGGCTCCTTAATAGAGTTCTAGTACAATATACTCAATATACCCCCAAATCCCTATTCTAAGTATCAAGGCCGGCATATTATGAGCAAAAAACCTTAATGCCATCCTCATATTAGAGCCACCCTTGCAGTGCGCGTGTAGGATCCCTTTTCAAGGAACCCCAATCTGACGGTCGACGCCCCTGTAGTAAGTTCAAACCCGGAAGTTGTAAGGCTGAAAAATAGGGGCCTTCAGACTTACACTACGGGGATACCCTAAACCTATTTTTATACGCTCGTAATCCGACCCCTCCATAAAAAAAACTCTATCAGAGTGTTGGGGCGGAAGGAATTCTGGGGTCTAGAGAGGTGGGGCGTGGGGTTTAGGGCTTCGGGTTCAGGCAGGTATGTCTCAATGTTGTTGCTTTTGGCATTGATGGCTTTTCTCTCCCGATTGTATCACAGCTCAAGCATCACTTTCTCCACAGACTTTATTGTCTTCCTGCCTGCTCCGTGTGCAGGCAAAGATGGTACCAGAGCTACTCCCAGAATGGGTGTCTCTTCCACCCTAAACCCTAAACCCT